AGAGGGCTGTCCGACTGGCCACTGGACTGTTGTAAATATTACGAAGTTCACTTGCTTTGCACACGTGGGTAGTTGTGACGCGATACACGTTCTAAGCTCTGAACACGCAGGGAAGAAGCGGTATGAGTGTCTGGGGTGGCAGGTCTGGCCGGTGACTTCATCATCAATGCTGACTCCAAAACTTTCTACTGGCAACAAAGGAGCACCAAGCTCCATCCGGAAGGAGCTAGGCATGCAAGCAAAGCTGAGGGCAGGCAGGTCTGAGAAGGCGGCAGAAACCAGGGCCAGGCTGAGCCACTTCATGTAGACACATTCAAGGATGTCCTTACCACTGCCAGTTCAAAGCTGTCCAAAATTCATGCAATTTTCATGAAGGAATGTGACAGAGACATTTAACACTAACTGTTCAAACATTACACCTCCACCCGCCACGTCTTCCTTTCCCGTGTCATGATAAACAAGGAATTCCTAATTCCAAGTAAGAAACACTGACAAGACACCTAGTGCTATTGACCTGAACGACACAAAGGAAAGAAAACGGAAGCAGGTGATCCAAACAGAAATGAAGCAAGCAAGAAAAATATTTCAAACTCATAGAAAACCTTCCTCTGCATTAAAACTTGCTTATTCAAGACCAGGGAGGAAGAAGGTCATCAGCTTGGCATCTATGTCCAGGTTGCTGGAAGAAAATACCAGAAGCTGGGTGTCTTATGGACATTAGGAATTTCTTTCTGACAGTTCTGAGGCTGTGGCATCAAAGGGCCCAGCAGCTGTGGAATCTGGTGTGAGTCCACTGTGTCACATAGGGCGCATTACACTCGTGTGTGCATGGGGCCGGGTGCCTGGGGGGTCTTTGATGAGGGCGTGCACCTCTTTAGGAATGCACAGTTCCCATGACCCCTTAAGACCCCAACATACCTCTCTATACCCCCACTTATGGGGTTAGGATTCAAACACATCAGTTTCAGGTAGACCGATATTCAGACATAGAACCTAGACATGTAAGGCTGATCTGTCCTGAGGACATCAGTCTATGTTAACACCATACAGTAGAAAGATATGCCACATTTGAATCAAACACAACATTTCTTCAAAACCAGTACTAAGAGCTAAAATTAACTTAAAAGCTTTTTAAGTAGAAGACAGAAGGAATTACCTCCTGGCATGAACAGGAAAATCAAAGTAAAATGAAGTGACATAAAACGACTAAGAGAACGCAATGGAAAATATTTACTGTAAAAACTGGGGATCAGGAAGAGGAGACCACAGGCAGAGCTTCTGCAGAGAGGATCAAACAGGTCTAGCTGTGGACAGTGGGAACCGAGCACCTGTAACAGCACCCAGAAACTGTAACAGCATGCCTATGCTGATTCACAGCTATTGAGACACACAGCAAAATGTCCATGGGAAGCTGCTACAGGACAACTAACGTTACCAAAAGATGACAGTCCACTGCTGACTACACTGATTTGTTGACTAACACCCTGGAGAGAGGGCTCTTGTGGGAGTGGGTCTGGGAGGAGTTACGGGGAGGAGTGGAAGGGTGGGTACAGAATACATTGTGCACAGTAATAAAAATGTATTCTTTTTAAAAGAAGCCTGTGCATGTTACTTTTCTGTTCCTGTGATAAACACTGTGAACAAGGTAACTTATAGAAGGAAGAGTTCATTTGGTTTATGGTTCACAGGGTTAAGAGTACATCATGGAGGGGGAGGCAGGGTGGCAGCAGAGGTGGCCAGAGCAGAAAGCCAAGGAAGCACATCATCACGCGGACACAGGAAGCAGAGAGAGACAGGAGACCTGGCAAGGCTTAACTCCCTAACCCCAAGTGATGTGCTTCCTCCAGGACAGCCATACCTCTAAGACCTCTCAAAACAGCACAACCAACAGGGGGCAAAATGTTCAGACACTTGGAGCCTGTGGGGGGCCATTCTCATTCAAACTACCACATTCCATCCCCAGCCCCCACAGGCGCATGACCACACAACATGCAAAATGTGTTTAGTCTAACTTTAAAAGTCCCCATAGTCATTATCAGTCTCAATATGATTCAAAAGTCCACAGTCCAAAGTCTTCTGAGACTCAAGGAAATCACTAACTGTAAGCCCCGTAATATCAAAGGATAAATTTTATACTTCCAACACCCAATGGAATCGACTACATACTACCATTCAAAAAGGGAACAACGGGGGCACAGTGAGGAATTACCAGACCAAAACAAGACCAAAGACCAGGAGGGCAAACACCAAAACCAGCAGTTCCATGTCCATCTGGGACTTCACTTCCAAAGGGCATAGGTGGCTCAGCCTCTCCAGCTTTACTGTGTGTGACACACAACTCTCCCTTGGGCTGGCACCACTCCCAGGATGCAGCTCTCTTGGCAGATACCTCATGGCTCTGGCATCTGAAACCTCTTGGGTCTCCACTGCCAAACAGGCTTCACCTTCACAGCGTCACGCAGTGGCCTGTCAGGGCCTTTTTATGCGGGAGCACCCCTGCTGCATGCTGCCTGGCCTTGGCAGCTTTCTGAAATCACGGAGGAAGAATTGATGACCCCTTGACTTAGTCTTTCATGCCTCTAAAGCCAGCACCATGGGAACAACAGTGTCAAGTTTATCCACCAGTTTGGGACAGACCCCTGCCTGCTTCATCCACATCACCAGCCACAGGTTTTTATGGGCTGCAGTGTTCTAGGAGAAAATGCCTTAGAATTTCACAAGCTGGCGGCTCAGCTGGGTGTGGTCTTGCCACGGAGGTACTATTTTCATTGTTTAAGTGCACATCTCTAGGCCCCTCCCTGAAGGCGTCAATCGCAGTACCAAAGGGGGCCTCTCCTTCAGCACATGTCGGCTCCATTAATCTTCCCAGTGCTGTTTACCCTCTGCATTTCTTTCTGTCCCACTTACTCTTTTTCATCGTAGATTTCCGTAACATTCACCATTAATAACCACACCACCATTTCTACATTAGGCTGTCTTGAAATTTCCTCCACCAAAGAAATTAGTCCATTACTTTTCAATTTAGCCTCAGGCAAGATCTTACATGGGCAGATTCCAGCCAGACTCTGCCAAAATAGCCCAGGTGATGCATCAGTCCTTGTTTCTGTCTGGACCTACATTGTTCCCAGCACTGCTTTCTTCCAGGTGCTTGTTTCTGTCTGGACCTACATTGTTCTCAGCACTGCTTTCTTCCAGGTGCTTACTACAACAGCCTATTTGGCTCTGCTTACAGCAATCAATTGCATTTCCAAACCTCCAAAGTCTTCCACATTCCTCCCCAAACTCACACAGTCAGGTTTTCCACAAAACACCCCACTCCTGGAACCAACTCCTGTATTAGCTACTTTTCTCTTGCTATGATAAAACACCACGACCAAAGCCACTTAGGGAAGAAAGAGCTTACCTGGCTTATGGTTCAATAGGTTAGAGTCTGTCATGGTGGGGGAGACATGGTTGCAGGTACCAGAGGAGAAAGTACAGCGATCCCATCTTCCAAGAGGCAGAGGAAGCAGAGAGTGACTGGAAATCTGGCAAGGCTTAAGAAGTCTCAAAGCCAGCAGGGCCACACTTCCTACAACCTCCCAAACATTGTTACAAAATGTCCAAATACCTGGAGTTTATGGAGGACATTTTCATTCACACCACCACACCCTGCAAACCAAGACTTTCCAGGAGCGACAGCAACCATTCTCCAGACCCCTGGGTTTTGTGGAGCTCTGAACCCTGTGTTTCCCCTACCTCATGGGGTGTCAGAGTTAATGCTAACATTTAAACCCATCATACAGTAGGCTTAAAGATGGGAATGGGAAAAGGGCAAGCCAAAATTTTATGAAGCTGGCTCTTCTTAGTGCATTGAACCACTTTTTTCTTGTATAAACATTTGGATGGTTACAAGCCTTTGGAAAAGGCTGATCTGGGTTATTTTTGCTGATGTTTTCACTACCTTTAAGAAGCCCATTTGTGGTGGTACTCAATCTACTCTCCTAACAGTCCTGCTTAGACTCTTCCTTGCGAAGAATGCTAATATTTGCCTAATCCCTTTTTAATGCATAAGATGTGTAATTTAAAACTTTAATCTATTTGCAATTCAATTCACTTCACACAGAGAGCTCAGAAAGCAAGGGGAATCTAGTTGAATTTTTAAAAAGGTCCATGAACTAATTAAGATTCTTTTGACAATTTAATAAAAGTATAAATCATTCTTGCTAAAAAATCTGCACATATATGCAGTTCTGTTTAATTTCAGTAGATTCTGAAACTACTGAGGCCCCTTCCAGGGGGACAGCCCAGAAGTCTGGATGTGTTGCCATCCAGCTGGTCCCACCTAATCTGTCAGGTCACCTTTTATATGTGTCAGCTGTACACATTATCCTTTGGATTTTTATATCTACTTTTAAAGCAGATTTACTGAAGTATCTCTGCCTACATAAAGCCCGAATCATCATAAAACAGAACAGGTAAAGTTCAACTGTGGAAAATGAAACTTGGAAAGAGGTCTGCATTGTTCAGGTCAGGAATCTACAGCAGTACTGTGGGTAGGAGATGCTGATCCATATAGACAGATATCAGACAACTGGTTTGATTTTTTGTTGTTTTTAACACAGGGTCTTCCTATAGCCAGATCTGGCCTGGGTAGACCAGGCTCTATTTATTTGAATTGAACTGTTTCTCTATCTAAATAAATTATTTTTATTAATTGATTAAAGGCAGGAGAGGAAAGAGAAGATAAATGACTCTAGGAGGCTTAACGCAGTTGGATAATGAAATGCCAGTGTAGTCTGTCCTTTCTGAAAGCAGCGGAAATGGCTGAAATGTTATGAGATGTCTTAATACCAGAAAGTTAAAAGTAACTGAAATATTAAAAATTAGTTCAAAATAGAAATATTAGAGTTAAAAATAAAATAGCCCTCTACTAAAGTGACGTCAAGTGACACAGAACAACAGCTGGGCTTCTTCACCTCCAAGGAGTCAGGGAACTGGCTTGGGCCGGCATTACTGACCTGACTTATCTTCCTCTGCTCCTGCACAGCCATCTGGATGGCCTGAGCTACCTTCTCCTGGTCTTTTGCGTGTTCTGTCTTCCACAACTCCCTTTCTTCAGCATGAACTTTTTCCAGACTTTTCCTTTCTTCTTCTACTGCCTTCATGACCACGTCTTTCACCGCTTCCTTTTCAAGCTTCAAAACAAACAGGGACAAAACAGAGAAGCTTAGAATAAAACAAGCTTGGTTAGATTAACCAAGACACAAAAGGACCCACACAGCTTGGTTCTAATGTTGACTTTTTATGCATCTTAACAGCTTAGCACGGAACCCTCTTTCTGGTACAGACTTTCCTTCTCACCCTGTGGTGTTTCTGTACTTTAAGGAGATCAAGCCTCAGCGTAAAGCAGCAGATATCAAACCTCATGCTCGGAGGATCCCTTTAAAATCTTAAGATTACCGAGTATGTTAAAAAGCCTGGACACAGGACTTCACTGCTTCAGAAACTGGAATCAAAGCCTGGAGGTGGCTCAGTGGTAAAGAGCACTGACTGCTCTTACAGGGGACCCGGGTTCAATTCCCAGCACCCACATGGTGGCTAAGAACTATTTGTAACTCTAGTTCCAGGGGATTCAATGCCCTCTTCTGACCTCCTCGGGCATTGCACACTTACATACATGCACGCAAAACACTCATACACGTAAAATAATAAATTGGGAAAGAAATCCAAATGAAGAAAGTAAAAATTTTTAATTATTTTTCTATTTTTTTTACCATGTGACTTATTTTGGTGGGGGGTGTGGTACATGTCACAACACCACATGGGGGTAAGATGACAACCAGAGGGTCTCCTTTGGCCACCACATGGGTCCCGGGAATCCAACTTAGGTCACTGGGCTTGGTGGCAAGTATACTAACCCACTGAACCATCTTGTGGCCCCTACTAACTGGTTTTCTGCGACAGGATCTTATATGGCTTACAGCTGGCCTTGAACTTGAGATGAGGTAGAGGCTGGCCTTCAAGTCCTGATCCTCCTTGTCTACCTCCCAAGTGCTAGGTTTACAGGAGTGTACCTCACATTAAGTCACTTACAGTTAGTAACATTAAATGTATTTTATACTACCAAGGAGTATGCCTCATGAAAAGCACTCATGTTTCCAAACTTTAAGAGGTGAGACACCGACTGCTATGGGTTTGTAAACTGGTTTGTCTCTTTAACACAGACTTCAGAGCAGACTTTGATTCTTAAACTTGCCTCTGTCTTAAATAAAGGTGTAACCATGTCTTGTTGGGTTAAAGCCTATTAAAAATACCCAGTCTCACACAAATGTGTTGTTATTTTTAAAGGAGGTATATTTAGTAGGCAGCTGAGGTAACTGTAGGTACTCTTTATGAACACTAAAATCTGACAAAAGGTAGGTCTTAAAGGTTAGTTGCAGTAATGTGCAAAAAGTAAAAATGTGTCTTTTTGGTTTATGGCTTTATAATTCTCTGTTGCATTTTCAAAGACTCCTTCACTGATAGATGATTTTTAAACATTTGCTGTATGGAAAATAACTGATTCACTGAGTCAAGTAACCTTTCCAGGTTTTGACACATTTCCTTGCACAAGAAAAGGAAATATCTCACTCCAATCTCTCTAAGTGCTGGGACTCAGATAATGCTTTGTCCAAACTGTAACTTTTGTTTCTTGAGACAGGGTTTCACTATATAATCCTGGTTGGCCTGTAACTCCCTATGTAGACCAGGCTGGCCTAGAATTCAGAGATTCTCCTGCCTCTGCTCCCTGCCACCCCCCTAGGGCTGGAACTAAACAGACTGCAACTTTTGTTTTAAATTCCTTGAACTCTGTTTCAAAGAAACAGCTGGATTTTCTGGCTTCCGTCCCTGGGCTGCTCTCCTGTTCAGAACAGGGACACTAGCCATACCTGACATGCGTGATAACTAACTTCCACTCCCTGCTCGTCCACCTCAGTTTCCACACTCCATTGGTCTATCTTCTTGTCCAGACGCCAGCTACTCATCCTTCCCCTGTCTAGCCTTTGCTGCCTCCAACTTCCCTGAATCCGATGTCAATGTCCACCTCTGCTCCACAGCTCCACAGGTCTTCCTTAGCTACAGACCCAAATCCCAACTTGGCTTAGCAGGCTAGCTACTTTTAAGTCTCACTTCACAGGTAACTTACTGTTTAAAGCCATTTTAAAATGTAGACATGCAGTTTACATAACCATAATGATTTAATTCATTATTCCTTCTGGATGTATGTTGTATTTTATCAGACTGTAGGTTTCTTAAGGAAAAGACAAGATCATGGTAATTCTTGGATTACCACCCTGACATGGTGATAGTATATATTTGATAGGATTATTAAACTTAATCCTAAATCACTTAAAAACATTAATGTTCTAAGTCTGTCTGTCTATCTAGCCATCCAGTACCAGGCAGATATCAGTGTCCCAATGTACCTATTTTTAAGTAATTAATTTTACTGTTAAGCGTTTCACTGCCCTCATAATGTTAGAGATGATGGATGGCCATATTCTAAGATGAAGGGAAAAATTAGAAGAACAGAACTTTTCTACAATGAAACGCTGTTCATTATCGTGAGCCCACTGCTACTGAGCTGACGTGCAATGCCACGTGCTAGGGTTGGCTACCTTCGCGGCCGACTCCAGCATGTCTCTGTTCCTCTGTGTTTCTTCTTCCAAGCACTTCCCCAGTATTTCCTGTGAACGGGAAGAGAGTTGGAGAGAAGTGACTAGAGGCAGAGAACACCCTCCTCACACACTCTGAGCTCTGTGGAGCGTCACCTTCTGCTCTTGAGACTGCTGGGCCAGCGCTTCCTGGATGTTCCCTCTCAACAGTTCCTTCTCGGTGTCGAGCACTTCCAGGAGCCTCTGATGCTGCACGGAAAGATGACAAAGCCATGATTATGACCCTGAGATAGAAAACCATCGACTCAGAGAACATTTGCCCCAGATGATATTGTGATTACAGGACAAAATGATGGACAATCTGCTAAAGGCGGAGGACCCAGGAAACCGAGTTCACCTTCCTCTAGTCATCCTGTAGATGCTGTTAAGCTCTCAAGGTCAGCTAAGTCTGTGACTGATGATCGAACTTCAGAAAGACTTCATACTGAGAAATCTATCAGAACATGACATGTCTTTGTATAAAATTAAATCTAGAGGAAGTTCTCCCTAAAATGGCTAGGATTCTGCATCAACAGCAGCATCAGATCACACCCCAGAAAACCCAATTGCTTGCTTGAGGAACAACCATTACAGTGGAAATTCTGTGTGTCTGGTAACTCACTGTTGGAAGTCCATGGAAGACAACTGGTTTTCTAGCTCTAAGGTTTCACAAGTTTCGAAAACAGAATTTGTGAAATCAAAGAAATATGGAATTCTCAGTGTGCAGAACCCATACTTATTTTCATTACAATGCACAGAGAACCGTCATAGTGATCGTGAACCACATGCCTGGGGTTGGAATGGAGGTTTCCAGCAACACCACACAGTGATCAAGGAACCAGGTACCTGGGGTTGGAATGGAGGTTTCCAGCAACACCACACAGTGATCAAGGAACCATGTGGTTAGGGTTGGAATGGAGGTTTCCAGCAACACCACACAGTGATCAAGGAACCATGTGGTTAGGGTTGGAATGGAGGTTTCCAGCAACACCACACAGTGATCAAGGAACCATGAGCCGGGGGTTGGAATGGAGGTTTCCAGCAACACCACACAGTGATCAAGGAACCATGAGCCTGGCGTTTCAATGCAGGTTTCTGATGATATTCTACTTTTTCAGCCCCAACCTATGCACACTGAGCCAGGTACTGTTTTGAAATCCTGCTCCGAGGTGAAAACAACCTTAAAAACAAACCTATATTTCTCTTCACATAAACTTTCCATCAGTTACCAAAAGTAAGACATTTTTTTCCCTCATGCACATTCAGAGTGCCAGGAACTTCCAAGCCTCCTTTAAATGTAAACGCATTTACCTATTTATTTATTTGTTTATTTACTTATTTATTTATTTGTCTTTTTTGTGGACAGGGTCTCCCTGTAGCCCCAGCTGGCCTGGAACTAGCTATGTAGACCAGGCTGGCCTTGATCTCATGGAAATCCACTTGCCTTTGCCTTCCAAGTGCTGGGATTAAAGGCGTGCGCCACCATGTCCAGCTTAAACCACGGTTATATTCCCTAATTCCCTAACACCTTTACATCTTTAAAAGTTGTTCTGTTTTAAAACATTTCTTGGCAAGGCAGTGTACGAAGAAAGTGACCAGAGTCCCCATCTAGTTAAGATAATCTATTATTCCCGTCTAAAATTATAAGGCTGCTTTGAATTTCTTATTTTTGAAGAATAAAAATCACAGTGAAAGATGCAGCTTCAGCTGAGCATGGTGGTGCATGCCTTTAATCCCAGCACTCAGAAGGCAGAGGCAGGCAGCTGTCTGTGAGAGCAAGGCCAGTCTGGTCTACATGGCCAGTGTCAGGCCAGCTGGGGCTACAGTGAGATGACCATAAGGAAACAAAGCCCTACAGGCTCCTGGGGCCTTGCTCATATGAACCTACAGCAATGGTGTCAACATGCACAGGACCCACGCACACTCAAGCAGACAAACCCAGCACAGAACTGGGCAAAGGGGCAGCAGGCCCCAGCTTAGCTGAAGAACTACTGGACAGCTGATTACTGCTGGGTGAGGAGGAGCTGATCTTCTTTAAAGAAGTGACTCTAGACAGGCTGACGAGACCCTAGTGACGAACTTGCACTGAGGGATGTCTGGGTACATTAACTTGACTCAATACACCTCATCCTAAGTGACAGAATGCTTGCAGTCTGGGGTGGGGGGGTATGGGAGGGTGTGGATGCGGGAAGGGTATAAAATGATTAAGATGCTGTGTCTGAAATACACAAAATCCAACAACAATACTTTGAAGGAGAAAAAAAGGCCAACACTTGAAAACAATAGAGCTAGGAAGGTCATACACTCAGCAAAGCACTTGCCACCAAGCACATGGAGAGCCACAACTTCCGTACACACTGGGCCACGTGGTGCCACACTGTGAGCCCAGAGCTCAGAGCAAGAGAATCCTGGACAGGTTGGCCAGCTGGACTAGCTGAACAGGCCAATTCTGGGTTCAAATAAGAAATCCTGCCTCAATATGTAAGACGGAGAGTGGAGGAGAAAGGCTCCTGGACAGCAGCCTCTGGCCTCCACATGCACGCACACATGTATGTATATTCACATACACCGGTGCCCACACACACGTGAACATCATGCATACACTCACATAAACCCCCACACATACGCATACTAAAATAAGTAAACATAATTCTCCAGAGATGAAAGTTCCTCAGTTTGGGCTTACTGAGGGTTTGGTAAACAGTAAATACTCAATAAATGGAAGCTCTGGAATTAGAAAAAGAACCACAATAAACTTTCCAGAGTCATAAATAACTCTGAAAACAGCTTTTCCTTGAAAAGTAGTCTTATGTCAACAAGTCAAACTAATGGAAATCATTAAGTAATTAATGACATGTGAGCCAAGTTTCCTCCACAGTCTAAGGAGAGTTAAAGACAAACAGGATGCACGAGCTACAACAACCACATGACGTTCAGAACACGCATGCCGAATGACATGTCTTAATTCCACACGACCCTGTCACAGAAGGCAAACTCTGGGCTGGTCTGTACAAAAACAGATGCTGTCATTTGAAAGAAGCAATTGTACTTAAAGTACTGCTGCTGGTTCAGGAATGGCTGATCTCCTCGGGGCCTCAAGCACACTGGGCTTTACACGTGTGGGTGAAGTAACTGCTCCAGATCACTGCTCACTGCTCAGTAGCCCATGTTCTCCTCAGGTGTGCTCCCTGTCAGGCCTTGAATGAATTCCTCCGCAGTCACAGCCTACATACGCATTATTAACATGGGCAATCATGTAATATCAACAGTATCAGTAACCATCAGCACTAACTCCTCATCATTACCAAAGTAACGAGAAGTTTCCCCCTGAGCCTCACTTCCTTAGTTAGCATTCTGTTACTGTGATAAACACTGACCAGCACCAACTTGGGGAGGGTTTATTTGGCTTACAAGCAAGGCCCATCATCAAGGGAAGCCAAGGAAAGAATTCAGGTCAGGAACCTGGGGCACAGGTCATGAAGAAACGCTGCTGACTGGCTGCTCCCCTGGCCAGTGTCCAGCCTGCTTCCTTATACTACCCAGGACCACCTGCCCAGGTGTGGCACCGCCCACAGTGGACTGGGCCCTCCCACATCACTCAGCAATTAAGAAAATGTCAATGAGGACACCTCCTCAACTGAGACTCCCTCCACCCAGGAGTGTCAGCTGGCGAATGACGCTGTCCAGCACGCCTCCCGACTTGCAGCTTTTAGTCACAGACGTGTTTATTTAAGTCCTTTCAGAATGTTCCTCAAATACTATAGAATCACTTCCTGTTCCCACTACTCACTTCCTTTATTCAGAGGACAAAGGCTAGAAGAGCACTTGAGCGCAGCACGCCTCTCTATATCCAAGTCACTTTACAGACAGGCTGCAATCATAGCTGCCATTTTTGACTGGACAGCGTCTGGGAACCCGCTAGGAATACCACAGATGTTGAGTAATTTGCATTCCAACTTGGAAATGTGGTATGTCTGGGAACAGGGAGGGTGGACAGGTGTCCAGGAGTCTCAGTGGACTGACCCCTGCTCACCTCCCCCGACGGCTTCTTTCACTTTCAAGGTTTCCCTCACACATTCCTCCTGTCCTGGTCTGTTGCTGTTAGGGTTAACTTCCAAAACTACATCTCTATTGCCATCACAGTGTATCCTCCAGCCCCCAGCCCCCTAAGTAGCTCCTTAAAGGTACTGCAACAGAGTAAAAGATTACAAAAACTAGACGGAGAGGAAAACCATCCGTCCCCAACAAACTCTTAAAGGCAGATCACCCAGCATTTAGATACCTCACTGATTAGTACTCCAAGAAATCTACAATGAACAATCACGGCATGGACCAGGTGACAACTTTTTAAAGATAAACCTTCAGAAAGAGTTTCAAGCCACAACTGTGCAAGCTGTCTTATATCACCCATGTCTGTAAGTGAAATAAAGGCAATCTTCTCTGGTTTAATTTAGACTGTGGAGACATGTCTCCTAAGAAGCCTCATGTTCCACTAGACAGAAACTGGTTAGCACCGTTTGTAGGCTCAGAGCAAGCTCTCTATTGGGTGCACAGCAAACGTCTGAACCTCCATTTTGTGTTCACATTCTTGGTGCCGTTAGAACTAAGTGATGGAATTTGTTTAATGTGACTGGTCATCAAAAATGCTTGAAATTCCTGAAGAACTGACATACTTGTGACACTTGTGACAACATAAACAAAGCATGCTACTCACTAATAACAGCCTCGGAAGGAATGCTGGTACACTCTTTGTAACAGAGGGCGGACAAATAACTTTTAAAGTATCTCTTACTGAAATCCAAAACATTAGGACTTTAGAACCAGCATCACATATTTCTAATGAGGTTCAAGTTGCTCGGATGTGGCTTTCTGGGATCTGTAAAAACAAAACCTCTAAATTGTCTACATAGTTAACTGCATGTATCAGTAATTGGTTCCTTTTTATGAAAAAGCAGAATTCTTTTGTATAAATATACCAGAGTGCATCTACCAAGTCTACTGCAAACGAAGCAGGATTTTAGACATGCCGTTTTCCCAGAATTGTTTGGTTAGAAGATCTATGTTTAAGTCAGAAGAAGCCGAGTACTTCTTCAAAATGACTGTGCCATTTTGGAGTGTCTGAGGGTCTCCTGGTTACACACGTACCACCTGATGGTCAATGTTGGTTTCAGTCATTTCAGCAGGTGAACTCAGGGCTGCAGAGCCACAGT